CCCTCCTCCCTCCCCCTCCTCCTCCCACCTTCCCCTTCCCCCTCCTCCGTCCTCCCACCTCTTCCCCCTTTCCCTCCTCCTTTCCTCCCTCCTACTTCCCACTTTTGTTCCACAAATAGTACCTCCGTGCTCCTTATCTGCCACGGTGTGTGACGTACTAATGACACACAGTCCCTAACTTCCTGCAAAGACAAATACCAAAATCAAGAGAATGTATAACTGTGACAAAAACTAATGTCAGCATAGAAAATAGTACTCTTTTATTAATATTTTTATTTATTTCTGAGAGAGACAGCGTGAGCAGGGGAGGGTCAGAGAGAGAGGGAGACACAGAATCGGAGCAGCTCCAGGCTCTGAGCTGTCAGCACAGAGCACGACGCAGGGCTCAAACCCACGAACCGTGAGATCATGACCTGAGCTGAAGTCGGATGCTTAACCGACTGAGTTACCCACGTGTCCCAGAAAATAGTATTCTTGACAGTTTAAAATGCAATTGAAGAACTCAAAGATAAATTTGAAGAAATCTCTCAGAAAGTAGAGAAAACAGAAAAAGATTTAAAAAATACGAAAGCAAAGATCTCGGGGGGGTAAATGAGACACTACAAATCCATTTAGGAGAAATCATCCCCTCCCCACCCCAAATACATTAAAAAGCAAAAAAATTCCTAAGGAGGGAGCGATCATCAAAGAGAAGAAAGTTCTGTCAGGTTGGCCTGTCTGAAGAAGACCCCACAGGCCACGGGGTGGGGACCACATGCCTGTGACGGGACAGGCCTCAGTGGCGGGTGCTGTGTCTGCAGCCGTGACTCCGTGGCCTCAGGGGCCTTGGGGCCACGTGCTGACAGTGAGGGATGCTTCCAACACGAGCCTCAGCCGGAACTCATCCCAGGCCAAGGTCAACACACAAGGGGCGCGTGGGGGTGGGGGGGAACTGTGCCCCGGCCTCAGGCGCCGGACGCAGGGCTGAGGAAGCGGGAGCCGCCGCGGGCAGGTGGCCCCTTGCGGCTGGCCATGAGCACCGCGCCCCCATCAGTCCGTCAGTGCGTCTCTCTCCTTCCAGGCTCTCCATTCGGACTCTGTGAATGTGCATTTTTCTAAAGCAAATAAACAGAACTAAGTTAGGTCTGAGACCTTGATTTCCCAGAGGGAATTTCTGCCACTGACTTAGGATGTTAAAAAAAAAAAAAAAAAAATCAAGAACTAGAGGGCGCCTGGGGGGCTCAGTCAGTTGGGCATCTACTTCACCTCAGGTCATGATCTCGTGGTTTGTGGGTTCAAGCCCCAGGTCGGGCTCTGTGCTGACAGCTCGGAGCCTGGAGCTGCTCCAGATTCTGTGTCTCCCTCTCTCTCTGCCCCTCCCCTGCTTATGCTCTCTCTGTCAAAAATAAATTAACATTACAAATTTTCTAAAAAGTAAAAAATTTAAAAAAATTTAGGAAAAGAGCTAGTTTGTCAGAAGAGGGCCCTGGGACGATGGGGGTCCGCCGGTCCCTGTCCCTCCTGCGAGCACTCTCCCCCGCGCACGCGAGCCACCCCGCGACAGCAGCACGTGAACACGCCAGCTCTCGGCAGGCGGCGGCCCCGCGTCATCACTCCTGTTCGTCCGTTCGCTCCTGTGAAGGGCATTGTCTTCTGTGCCTTTGTTATTAACGAGGCATAAGCCCACAGACGAAGTCGCTGCAGGGGTGCGTAACAACGGGCAGAGATCGGAATCTCGAATCCAGTTTAATTATGCTAAGAAAGCGAGTGGAGCCATGAATCACTGTTTGCCTGCCATTCATCAACATAGAGTTTAATTGTGGAATTTAAATATTATGAGCTATTTATATGTGTATTTCTTGATAATATTACTAACATTCAGTTGAATATTAGCTGTTTGCAAATGCTTTTTTTATAATTATGGTTTCATAAAAGTATTTATTTTTTTAATTTATTTATTTAAAATCAAGTTAATTAACATACAGTGTAGTATTGGCCTCAGGAGTAGAACCCAGTGATCTGTCTGTTACATACGAAACCCAGTGTTCAACCCAACAAGTGCTCTCAAAAAATTAATAGAACTACCCGTGACCCAGCAATTGCACTACTAGGTATTCATCCAAGCAAAATAAAAATGCTGATTTGAAGGGGCACATGCACCCCGATGCTTATAGCAGCACTATCGACAGCAGCCAAAGTGTGGAGAGAGTCCAAATGTCCATCAGCATTTCATTTGGATGAGTGGATAAAAGAATCTATTTTAAAAAGGCAAACATCTGCATATGTCACGGTATTAACACTGGGCATGTTGTCGATGTATTGTTTTGCTTTTTGTTTTAGTAGATTATGTTGTATTTGTCTCAATTATCAGGGTTCCTCTTTTTATTTCTTTTTTTTTTCAATTTTTTATTTATTTCTGAGAGAGAGAGATAGAGAGACAGGGTGAGCAGGGGAGGGTCAGAGAGAGAGGGAGACACAGAATCTGAAACAGGCTCCAGGCTCTGAGCTGTCAGCACAGAGCCCGACGCGGGGCTCGAACCCACAGACTGTGGGATCAGGAGTTGAGCTAAAGTCAGTGCTTGACCGACTGAGCCCCCTGGCGCCCCATTTATATCCTTTAGTACATTTAATGATGACTATAGGGCTTCTGTTTTACCCAAACATACTGGTTTTTCTCTTTTTTTTCCTCCTGCTCCTTCGTATTCTCTATTTTTCTTTATACCCAAAACAAATTATTTTTTCACATATTTAAGATTCCACAATATTGATCCTAACCTCCCTCTATTGTTTCTTTCATTTTCCCCTGTGTTTGTGTAGGAACCTCTTCCCCATCTTGCTTTATAGTGAGTCACTCAGAGTCAGGCAGAGGGAAGGGTGAGCCCTCAGTGAATGCGGGCTGGATGCATTTGAGGCGTTCGTTAGCTTTGTGGCTGCTCGCAGTATCCAATCATAAGTGGTCACTGTGAGTGAGACACTGAAACTCGGAGGGATTATGCAGGTGGATCAGTAAGCCGGAGACGACAGCGGCGGTGACGGGCATTCGTACACATACTGCCGCTTCCTGAGCGTTTACGTACAGGAGGCCAGGCCCCTTCCGTGTGCAGCATCATCTAATTTAGAAACTGAAAAATTCTAGAGAATGTAATGCTTATAAAACAGCAAGCTCAGGTCATGAGGTGATGACTGGTAATGATTTAACAACCCCAGTCAGCCTGCTTTCAGATCCTTTAACCATTGCACATTTTATGGGGCGCCTGAGTGGCTCAGTCGGCTCAGTGTCCAACCTTTGATTCAGCTCAGGTCATGATCTCAGGGCTCATGAGCCTGGAGCCTGCTTAGGATGCTGTGTCTCCCTCTCTCTCTGTCCCTCCCCCACCTGCGCTCTCACTCGCTCTCTCTCTCTCTCTCAAAATTAAACAAACATTAAAAAACTAAAACAAAATAAAAGAACACATTTTACTGGTTGGCTGAGCCACTTGTATGTCCTAATCTAATCACTTAGAATCCGTCCTGCACCTGTCAGCGGGAGTGCTCCCTGCTTGTGTCTGTTTTCCCTTCTCCTTTTCTTTCCCTCCCTCCCTCCTTCCCTCTCTTCCTTCCTTCCTTCCTTCCTCTTGTCATTTGAATCAACAACCCACTACTGAGCAACCACGGGATGCAGGCAGCTAAGATACGGAAGCCGGTGGCGTTGACCCTGCCCTCGGGTGATGCACGTCCAGGGGGTTTGCGCCATAAGACAGATGGTGAGCTCACAGTAAGGCTTCACGGAGATTATCAAATCCTAAGCAGTAAGTAGGCAGAAATGCTCTTGTTTTAAGTGGCAAGGTTGAAAATAAAAAGACAAATGCTTTCTCTTTCTGGGAATTTATGACTTAAATCTCCTGTGGTCTACACGCTTGTGTTTTGGGCAAGACACGCGAGCTCAAACCCTTACCCACTGCCTGTGTGGGTGAAGTCACTCCTTGGGAAGATGAATATGCCTGGAAAGGATTTACAGCTCAGTCCCCAAAGGTCAGCAGAAGCAGACAGGGACGCCGGTTCCCAGACGACGGGAAGGGATTGCTGAGCTCTGAGGAAAATGGCTTAATGACCTTTGTTTCTTATTTAAGCCCGGTACCTACTTGCCTGTTGTTCACACAAAGCAATTTGACATGACAGCTTATTGCGCGCGTGTTATGTGGCCGTCAACGTGAAGCTGGTTAACTGAATTGTCAGTGTTATAATCTCTGCGAGGGCGCCCGGGGAGATCCTGGACCACAGGGACGGGAGTTCTAGAACCTTCTCAGGTCCAGCACAAGGTCTCAGACTGCAGAGTTGACTTTGCCGACGGGGGTGGTCCGTGAGCAAGTCCCTGGGGGGCCCCTTTCCCAGAGCCCCAGGTCCAGGAGAATGCTTGCTGGGGGGCCCCCGTCCATGGGCAGGACAGATGACACTTGGTTCTGGGAAGTGGGCACAAAGTCCACGTCCGCCGCTGCCACGGGATGCCTCCATGTCCGTCTCCTCCTCACATGCTACAAAGTCACAGGCACTTCACACTGTGGTTCGTGTCTTGCAGATGGAGAAATGGAGGCACAGGGAAATTAAGTGACTTTGCCACAGTCCCAGGCTGGGGAGGACCAGGAAGAGAACGTAGAGGGACCCTGACCCTGGGCCCGTGTCCTGCCCACGGAGCCACACTGCCTCCCTTCCTAGGAGAGAAGACGCCCTGCAAGGTACGCGAGCCCCTAAGCCCCGGGTTGCATGCGGTCCAGTCCGCCCTGGGGGGACGTCGCCTGGGCCACCAGTGTCAGGAACGTGTCCTCCCTCTGGGAGAGCAGCTCGCACCCCTCCTGGGCCCTCCCCCGCCCTCATCACAGTGTTCCTGCCTTCTCCGTCCACCCCGCCTCCGTCCTGTCCACCACCTCTCCCGCTCCGGGGGCAGACGCACCCCATCCTGGGACTTCAGAAGAGAAAGAGAGATACTTTCTCCCAGTCCTTCCGGGGCCAGGCTCTTGGCCTTCTGCTGGCCTCCTTGGCTGCCCGTCCGCTGTGAGGCGCGTGGAAGCCGGGCTGCTGTCCGCCCCCCTCACTGAATCTCCTCTCCCAAACCCCGCCTGGGTCTCACGAGCACCTGCTCCAGACACTGTCAGGGTAGAAGGGGCTGTAAGCACCGAGCAGACCCACCCCCAGATTCCGATGGATGAAACTTCCGGGACAAGCCCCAGCGAGGCTATGTCATCCGTGCTGGACCACTTCCCAGCAGGGGTCGAGGTGGCACCGATGAACTGCACGCAACATTCCCCCTCAAAATCCCGTGGTCACAGCTGAATGCGCCTCCCTCCCCTCCCCACACTGCCCTAGGACTCTCTCCTCTCTTGCTTTCTGTTCCAAGCTATTTCCTTAGGTGCCCTTCCCATCTCTTGATAGTCCCGTCATCTTCTGTCGATGCGCCATACCCCACTCCTGCCCTTTGAGGGCCCCTTGAGGTGGGGGGTGAGTCTCATCCGGTGGCAAATCCCTTCCCTTAGAAGGAATGATGAGTACAAACGGTGTCCCACGGGGAGAGCAGCCACACAGTCACGAGGGCAGGGACGCCCAAGACAGCGCCGCCCACTCACGCGGGGAGAGTGGGCGCCACACGGTCTAAGGATTTCCTCTGGACCTACTGTGCGCTTGCACGCCCGCCTGGCCGCCCTGTAGAGCTCACAGGGACACCGTCCTCTGTACCGTTTGCATGAGGCTCAGGGGGCAAAGACACAATAAGTAGAAAAAACTAAACCTCATGCTTAAGACACCAAGCCCAGCCCTTCTCCCCCAAACCCCTGAATATCCCCCACTTACTGGTCTCTGAAATACTTTCATTTCTGAACGTTTTCTGTGGATGGTGCTCCTCTCCCCTGAACACAAGGACGCTTACACACAGACATGAGCTTCTCTACTTCTGTTCTTTCCCCTTTTCACTTTGTTCTCCCCTTAAAAAATAAGCAAAACATTTTTTTTAAACTGGATTTTAGAAGCACAGACTTCCGGTTATAAAATAAATGTCACAGGGATGAAAAGTATAGAAGAGGGAATGTAATCAGAAATGTTACGATAATTGTGTGGTGACGGCGGCTGCCTACCGCAGCGAGCCTTTCGCGATTCACCTGAGTGTCAAGTCCCTGTGCCGTGCACCACACCTGACACGGTGCATGGCGAGGAGACTTCCATTTAAGATGAAAAAGTGGGTTAAAAAATTCCAAGCTAGAAGATCACTTGGATAATTAGAAATACTTAAGTAAATAGACAACTCTACGCATACTATTCTGGGTCAAAACATATTTGAATCTTTGCAGTTTTTTAAAGGTTTTATTTTAAAGTAATCGCCACACCCAATATGGGGCTTGAGCTCACTACCCCAAGATCAAGGGTCACATGAGGAGGGATGAGTACTGGGTGTTGTGTGGCAGCCAATTTGGCAATAGATTATATTTTAATTAATTAATTAATTAATTGAGATACATAACAAAAAAAGAGTCACATGCTCTTCCAACTGAGCCTGCAAGGCACCCCTTGAATCTTTGAATTTTATTTTTTGTGCCACTTTATCAAAATTTGGGTTGGGAGAAGTGAAGGTAGAAAATGCTGGCTACAGGCCAGATACAGTCTCAGAGCCGACAGAGCTGAGCTTATGAATATAGCACCTCCTCTACTACTTATTAAAAGCTGTTCTTTGGTCACATTTGTGGGGTTTTGTAGCTTCAAAAGGAGAGGTGTGGCTTCCGTGGCACTGCCCCCCGAGGGCGCCTGAGTGGAGCAGCTGTTCCGTAGAGGAGGGGCTGGGCGGGCTGGGGGAGGACGCCGAGCAGACCCGCGTGAGGCCGCACACGCCCAGCGCTGGGGCACGGGCACTGGCGGGAGGACGGAGGCCCCCGGGACATCACGGCCGAGCGGGAGAGCCCGCAGCTCTTTCCCAGGGACTGGCTGGGTCACCCACGCTTTTCACATATACGTGGCAGGAAATACCACCAGCCAAGGGGAAAAAAGCTACCAGAACATACTCCCAACAGATAAGATGGGTAAACGGATTAACACCTTAAATGTACAAAGAGCTATTGCAAATTGATGTGAACATTTTAAAAATAGGCCAAGAGTGAGAATAAGGGCTTCTCTGTAGCCAGAATGCCAGAGGCCACATGTGGGAGGCGCTGACCCTCGCCCGTGGCCAGGGGAAGAGAGGTGTGAGCCACAGTGAGCTAAGTCACTCCCCTCGGCGAAAGTGAGACTTGTGTGGTCCGTTGTTGATAAGCTCTTAGAAGAATCGTCGCACATTACCAAAAAGTGCAGGGATTTGAACATCTTCCAGAAGTACCGAAAATATCTTCTCGGAGAACTCTATTACAGAAATACGCACAAAGACATGTGTGATATTTATTGCACTTCTTTTTATAGTGGAATAAAACAAATAACTGAAATAAAACAACCTCAATGTCCATTAGTGGGGGAATTTACAAGGATGCTTGGATAAATTACAGGACAGACATTCTGGGGAATACTACACATCCATTCAAAAAAGGAGTCGAGTCCACGGGCATTGGCCTGGAGAGAGAGCTGCGACTTCTAGTAAGTGAAAATAGCAACTTACAGAGGAGTTGGCGTAGCTCGGACTCTTGCACCTGAGGGAGTCAGCAGGGCAGCGCTGAGGGTTCTGGCCTGGACTCCACGAGCGAAGGGGACGACGGTGTCTCAGCCGACAGCCTCTCGGAGGGTCGGGCACCCGGAAGAGCCTGCCGTGACTCAGCCTGCACAGTAAGGGTCTGAAGGGGCACCTCACCCAGGGAGTAGGAAGGGACGGCCATGAAACTGCCACACGGGGGTGATGCGACCAGCAGAGAAAGGACAAATGTGATCGGGTTTTGGGCTGACGGGATGAGCACTTCATGTATTCAGCAAACCTTCCACGGTGAGGCAGACAGGCCGACGACCAAGAGCCCACGCTGTGCCGGGAGGAGAGCGGCGAGGGCGACAGACGTGGGGACAGGAAGCAGGGGCACGGCTTGGGAGACCCCGGACTGCAGGCAGACACGGAATGTGGCTCGGAGGTGGATTCGCGGTGAATGACGGTGCTCTGGGAGCCACTGGGCATGGGGTCCAGGCTCACCTGAGATCAGAGAACCCGTGTGCAGCCAGGTGCCTGCAGTGGCATAGCCGTGTCCCAAGCGGGTGTGGCCTGGGCACAGAGCCCTGAAGGAGCAAGAGAGTCGGGTGCCACATGCTTTCCTGAGGCAAGAGCTTCAGTGAGACTTAGCGGGTGTAGGACGTGGCCGCTGGTGACCTTGGAAGTGACACCCAATGGGGTGTAAGCCGCCTGGAGGCCTCTGTGGGAGCAGCCTGGCCGCAGAGGATGGAGGGGCGTGGCACCTGCTAATGGTCAACAAGGTCAAGGGTGGAGGGACCTGAGCCCAACGGAAGCACAAGAGCCGGGTGAGAGGAGCAGACAGAACATTCTAGAAAGAAGGGACTCCCCCACCCCCCCATCTCAGGGAAGTAATCTCTGAGATCGCGATCCCCGGTGTGGCCTGGGGCAGGACTCGGACGTGAGCTCCAGCCCAGGCGTGTCTGGCACGGCCAGGCCTGACTGCTGCCACCTACCAGCCTTGGCAGCTGCTACCAGGCAGGATCCAGGGGACACAGGAAGCACACGGACGGCCCGCGGTCAGGACATGGGGGCGCCCAGAAGCGTCCTGAAGGCAGACTTCTCTGTGGGGGGCCGGCTGGTCGGGGCTCAAGGCCGACACCAGGCTGGTGTGTGGGTGACCCCGCTTGCTGTGAGGAGAGAGCAGGCAGAGTCCTCAGGACGGTGGCGGCCGTGGGGGCCTCCTGACGGGAAGACCCGGGTGGCTACACGCCGCTCCCCCGCGCCAGCCAGCCTTCGCCTGTACGACCCGTGGAAGACCGAGCTGACCACGCGGCTGGGCGTGATGTACGGCAGCCTGTGCCGCGGTTCTGGGCGCCCGAGCCGGGACTTGGGTCCGAACCACGCTCAGCAGGCCAGGCGACACCTGGCGCTTCACCCTAATGCTCTTCAGTTACTTAGGATCGTCCTTCCCAGAGTGCTCGCAAAGCTGCCTTCTCTGATCTCCCAACACCCCGAGCTCCACGAGGGAACGAGGAGACAGGGAAGCGCCCAGGTTAGCTCCCTGTCCAAGGTCGTGCAGCTGCGGGACACGAAGACCCTGGCCCGGGGGTTCAGCTCCAGGACCCAGACCGCTGCGCCCTGCTCGGCACCGCTTCTGGAAATGCCGCACGGCCGTCTTGTGGTTTAGCACTTGGCCGTGTGTTACAGGGTCTTGTTGGCCAGTCTGCCCTCTCCTTGACCTGCAGCTATTTACGGGTCTTTTACTTACAAGAAAAAGCACAAACACAGAGGAACCGGGGAATAAAGGTCTCGCTCTCAAAACCAACTGGCTGGTCTCTACGTGGTTTGTAAATTGTAATCCGCTGCCACACAGGAGAAGGCGTGGGGGACGCTGTCACGGTGTGTCCCCAGGAGCCCCTGCGACACGGGCTCCCCTTCTCCTCGTCCCGAGGGGATGGGACGTGCTGCGACCCGCCAGGAAGGAGACTGAGGTTATTGGCGCCCTGCGGGCTGAGATTGACGGGTTTTATGTCAGATCCTACTTGTCTGGGAAAACACCAACTATCAGTCAGTGCACTGGTCGTAGCCTGTTTTGAATATTCGTTCTTTACTTAG